CCCGGACCACCGGCTTCCTAATGATTGATGAACAAGGCTAGGCGATCCAATTTATAGACAATTAGAGGGGATATAAACGGCTAGATAAAGTTACCGTATTGATCTGAACGGTCAAATTCGCGTTACAATCCTTGTGGAAATCGGAAACTTCGTAAGTCAGTGAGTTTTAGGCGGCGATGATTGTAAAAGTATTCGAGAAAATACCATAAATCCAGATTCTTGAAATGATTACCCAGCTCTGGAAGCAGAGAATTGTGAGTTCTTCCTCTGGCTCGGGTGAATTGATGAGAGAGAGGGTAGAGATTTGTAAGGGGTAGAGAGAGAGAGAGAGATTTTTAATGTAGGGATGAGAGTGAGAGAGATTAACGTGGGTTGGTTACTAGAATTTTTGGAGAGATAAAATTCCATGGAAAATAAAATCCACCTCCCCCCAAGAAAAATATTTTCCTTGTTTTCAGGGAAAATGAGGTCACGTGACCAAAAGAAGGAAAATATTTTCCTTAGAAAAAATTGTCAATCAAACAAGACAAAAGTAGAAAATTAGGTGGAAAAAACCCATTTTCCATGGAAAATATGTGCAATCAAACACATCCTTAGTTGTTATTAGACGAAAAATAAAGACAACAAATTGAAATTCGAGACTTACGTCCACCCATAATTGATCAAGTACTTCTCTAAAACTAAATTCTTACACCTGCACTATACAATATGTTATATTGTTATACTTCAAAAATTGGACAAAATTAATTGTAGAAGAAAAGATAAATGATAAACCTCAAATTCAAAGATGGAAATTTGAAAATCTGTTTGGTCTTTCAATAAATTCGTGACTTTATTTGCTAAGAAATCGGTTTATCCTAGCCGAACCGTGCTACACATACATAATCATTTATCTAATCTTTTACCTACTACTCACATCATTTGAGTGAGTGGGACCTTGGTTCGGATTATTAAATTACACAAGGGGCCCGCATGTTTGTGCGGGGAGGGGGGGACACTATTCGGTACACCCCCTCGGTACAAACATCTTTATCCTAGCCGCAATTATGACTGTTATAAAGCAACCAGTAGATATGGTTTCCTTTCCTTGTCAAGGGAAGTTACAGATTAATTTTGTTTCCTTTCTAGAGGAATTCAAATACTAATATGCTTAAAAATCTATCAGATAATTCCTATTCAAATATGAATTCCTAAAATATTAATGACCTGGATTTAAATTAAATAATTGAGAACCAATAGATAAGTACAAATCTTTTCCTATATATATATTATGAAACTAGGAATATATTTTCCTCATTCAAGGCAACCATTTCAATTAGAATAAGGGAAAATTGCAACAGAAGCTTCAAACATTTGCAACATTAGCAGACTTTTTCCAAACTTTTGATTTGTTACAGCCGTCACCCCTAACCTTTCCAAACGTTGCATGTGAGGCTCTTTTTGACTTTTTTCATCCAAAATTTCGTTAGTTGACCAAAAAAATTATTTTGACCACATTTTAACAATTTTTAGAGGGGCAAAATGGTAAATTTGTATTAAAATTAAAAATCAAAAAATAAAAATGGTATTCTTCTTCCCCAACCCACTCACGCCTCACCCACACCTGAAGCATCTCCTACCTCACGCCACCCAAAACCACCCCCCAATGCTAAAGCAAAATCCTACCCACCCAGCGCCGACCATCATCTGCCTACCTTAGCCGCACCTAGAATCGTCGCCACCGCTCAATTAAACACATTAAATTAGCTGAAAGATTCAAATAAATCGAAATGACTTTTCAGTATTAAACCCACATTTTCACCAAATACCAATGATTTTTCAACTGGTGATTCTCATTAACTTGCTGAATCATAACCAAATTCCGGTCCAACACTAGATGTACTTCTTGGAAATTTTCAGTGAAGGTTGTAGAAGAGGTAGTCAAATTGGTTAAAGGCTGTAGGATTGAGAATATTTGAAAAAAAACAAGCGCAATTTTTGAATGGTGTTTTAGCCGAAGGAGGGATATTTTGTTGAGTTGAAGGGATGACTCCATGTGGTGAAAAGTGTTGTGGTGGTGGATTACGATTTGGGAGAGCGACTCTGCTTCCGATAAGGGTTCGATTTGTAGGATTGTGGGCTTTGTAATGGTGATTGGAAATTGGGTTCCTTGATCTTGAGTTTCCATTTGTTTGAAGTCCGAGAATGTGGAGAAAATTCAATGGACTCTGCGCTAGGCGCTAGCAGGTGGTTGTGGAGGTGGAGGTGGCGGCGGTCTGATGGATTTTTGGTTTGAGTTGGGGCTGAGGGTGGGGTTGGGTGGGTTGGAGAAGAAGAAGACCACTTTTATTTTTTGATTTTTGATTTTAATGCAAAGTTACGATTTTGCCCCTCTAAAAATTGTTAAAATGTGGTCAAAATAATTTTTTTCGTCAACTAACAGAATTTTGGATGAAAACCGTCAAAAAGGCCCTCACATGCAACATTTGGAAAGGTTAGGGGTGGTGGTTGCAACAAATCAAATGTTTGGAGAAAGTCTACTAATGTTGCAAAGGTTTGGGGATTCTACTGCAATTTTTCCTTGGAATAATTAAAATCAACAATTCAAAAATATTATAGTTTTTGATACATTAAATTCAGATTCTTAACATTTGCCTCTTTGTGTTTTCCTTTTGCTCAGATCATAAGATTTGTTATGAAAAAAGGAGAATGGACAATAGAAAAAATAAAAATAAAAATAAAAATAAAAACTAGAACAAAAATATACATGTTTATGTGAAAAGCCGCGAACACATGAGAAAATATACTATATCAAAGATAAGTTCGAGAGAAGATCATTTTGGACGGCTACTCTAAATGTTTTAAAAAAAAAAATGACCATCAACCCTACCACTACC